TAGGGATGCGAGGTGAATGGTCTAACGACTACGGCATGCACGACTATGAGTACACCGCCCCCTCGCCCCCCCAAAATTCTCCCGTTTCCCAACCCTGCCGCATTTGTTGATTTCAGGACGCCGTCCAATCACCCCTCCTAGTGATGGTCGAAGCCGGGGCCCACTCGGTCGTGGGGCGTTCGTGGGACGTGCGCCTCGACGCGGAACTGACGGAAGACGCCGGGCGCTATCGCAAGTACGACTTCAGCAGCGTGCGTGACCTGCTCCGCGTGGTGCGCAACAAGCGGCACCACTTCCACGAGCTCCCGGAGCGGGTCCAGGCCATGATGAGTCCCCTCCCCGGAGGCTTCCTCAGGTAAGAGAGGGGGGGGGGGCGTACTCTTGTGTGTTTGCATGCCTTTGCGGTTAGACCATTGACCACGCGTCCTCGAGAGGACGGAGCATTGTTCCCACAGGACCGATCACCGATGGCCAATCGTTCCTTTCTACTTTGCCAAAGGTGGCTCAAAAATATCTTCCCTAGTCTGTCTATCCTAACGATATCCCTTCCCGCCTTTTCAACCCACCTCCTATGCCACAGTACAGCTACCGTCCTTTCCTCTCTATCCCATGCCTCAAACATCTCCCTGTACGTCTCTTCTATTTTTCCCAGCTCAGTCATGTACACTTCCCTCTCCTTCTTGTACCACGGACATTCCGCGACTACATGAACACGGTCTTCGCATTCGAAGCCGCAATCACATTTGAACTCGTCGTCTTCGTCGTCTACCGGGGGGTCTACCGGGGGGGGGGGTACTGATATGCGTACATGCCGTAGTGGTTAGATGATTGACCTCGCATCCCTACGAAGCCAAGACGGAACACCCCGGGTTTTCACCGGACCAGGGTACCACATCACCAAGCGCGCCATAGCGGTGGAGCGAGAAAAGGCGAATGGTAGACACAGGAGATCGTTTGTATTTGCTCTGCACGTTTTGATTTGATGCCCTACGGAGGGAGGGGTGCGATCAGGGCATTGTATCTCTTGGCGACCGCGTAGGAACTTGTTGAGATGACACGGAACGGCGGGTGTCGCGTTGTCGGAAGGGAGCCCGTGATTAACGGACGGCGTTGGAGGCACATGCCGATAGTACCTGTAGGTCGTCGATGCAAGCAAACTACATATATTCAGCTGTTCCGGGCTGCCATATACCGTGGTAAATTGTGAGAAATGACGCCCAGAGATCAATACGCCGACATGTATTTTCCTCTCTCCACCATGGAGTCAGCCAGACATGATCCAGCTTCGGTCAATATGCAACAAACGGTGTCCGTGAATGTCCGCTTGCTACACGGTTTGCGCCCCGCGGAGCATTGTTTGGTTTGTGGAACACCCCGTTTGGTGTGAATGGGCATGAGTGTTTTCCGGCAACGCCGTGTCTCGAGAACCGACGACCTATTCGTTCCTTGCAAACCCTCGGAACAGCTGAATATAGTTTGCTCACATCGACAATCTACAGGTATCATCGGCATTCTACTCAACATCATGGACGAATCAGTTCCTCAAATCAAAACATACTGTGTGTCAGCACGATCCGTTGTTGCTTATGCACCATGCCGGTTTTGTTTTTCGAATATCACTCGTCCTGTCGCCCTGGTTTTGTTGCTTACACTGATTTTTTGCGCGCTTTATCCATACCCCCCCAGTTCGACTCTTTTCGCATCTCTCTCATTTCAGATACGTGGAGGAACGCTGCCCCTCAGCTGCTAGTGCATTGGCTCTAAATGAGTTTGCTCTGCGCGCGTTACCTCTACCCCCCCCCTTCGCTCGACTCTTTCGTTTTTCTGTCACGCTATAGATACGTGGAGGAGCGGTTCCCTCAGCTGTTGATGCACTGCGCCAAGGTTACGGGGTCCCTCCTCACGGAGGAGCGCATTTTCAGGGATTACCTCGTGCACTTCCGCCGCCCGCAGCCCCCCGCCGCCGCCGCCGCCGCCGCGCCGTCCGGCACGACGCAACCAGGCACGCCCATGGCGGCGGCACGCACTGCCTCTGCCAACGGATCGGCAAACAAGCCTTCGGCGGCACCCAAAGAGGCGGTGCTGGCCACAGGCGGGAGCGGAGCGACGGCGGCCGGGGCGAGAGGAGGAGTACCAGCCTCAGGCGGAGGAGGCGCGTCTGAGGCACCACCAGCGGACGACGCCGGAGGGAAAGGTGGGTCCGATCAGCCGGGCACCGAGGGGGAGCGTGCTCGCGCTCCTGTCGATACGGCGGCGCTGCCCAGTGGCGGCGGAGCGGCTGCTGCTGCTGCCGGCGCGGCGTCGTTCACCTCGCCTGGGAAGAAGTCGGCCAAGACCACCCCTCGCAGCGGCAGGAAGAGCTACACTGCGGGCGGTGCGGATGGGGCAGGCGGGGACGGCGGGGTCGGAGCAGCAGCGGCGCGGGTGACCGAGCAGAACGGTCCCCGGGGGGAGGGAGCGCTGCAGGACGTGCTCGTTTGGAACGAGTCCGGCATGGCGAAGAGCATGGGCTGCAGGTACGCTTGGGCGCATATGTATGGGTGTGGTTTCCGGGCTTCGGTTTGGCAGCGGGCGGGACCGGTGTGTGTACGCTGTCGTGTGTGCCGCCTTTTGTCGACGCGAAGACACGCCAGGAACCGCTGGCTCTTGCCATGTTTTTCGGTTTGTGGATGGCTACTCTTATGCCATTTTCGAGCTCAGACTCGATACATCCCTCGTTTTTTTTTTTTTTTGCAGAGGTTGGTGGCGACATCAAGACCACTGGCAGCGCCGGCTGGACGTGACGAAGCAGCGGCCTCGTGGGGCGCACCTGAACAAGGCTCTTCAAGACCCCAAGTACCGGACTCGTCTCTGCAGCCACTGGGAGAACAGCAAGGTGGGGGGGGAGGGGGAGCACCACACCGTGCAACACGAATGAGGGTTAGATTGCATTTGGTTCCGGGGCCCAAAACATGGTGCACTGAGTATCCTCGTTGGCAGCTGAATTTAGTCCCCTGAAGCAGCAACGTTACTTACCGGTACAACGTTTGTCCGTGGTGTGGAATGGAGATTTTCGTTTTTTAATGTTTTTTCCTACCAATAAACCCCCATGTGCATGCTCTCATGTCGTCAACCCAATCCATCACCGACCGACACAGGGCATGCTGTGCCCAATGCGTCGACGTGGCGCCGGCAAGTGCGACTTCGCTCACGGCGGCCTGGAGCTCCGCGTGCGCGCAAACAAGCGCGACCGGTGGGGCCGGCACGTCGGGGGCTCGAACCCGCTGGACGGCGGCGGCGGCGTGAACGTTAACCTCGACGCCTCTGGCGGAGAAGACACGCTGGGAGCCGCCCGGTCCATCGGACGTATCCGGGTCGAGAACGGCGAGAAGGATGGAGTTGGCGTTATTGGTGGTGGAGGCGGGGGCGGGGCCGGTGGGGCAAGGCAGGGAAAACGGAACAAGGGCGGCGGCGGCGGCGGTGGCGGCAGCGGGGGAGGAGCTACGGACAGGTCTGGCCCGAGAGATCGAGAACCCAGGGCGAACGGCGGCGGCGGCGGTGCCGCTCCTGCTGCGAACGGGGGGGGGTTCGTCGGCCCTTCGCGCGAACGCGGCAAGAACCGCAGCCGGTCTCCGGGGGGAGGGCGAGGAGCTAACGGCGAAGCGGCCGGCCGGGAGGTGAGGCCGCCGGCAGTCGTCGCGGCGGAAGGCGATGCCGCCTGGCCGCCGCTGGGCGCCTCCCAGGCAGAGCGACCCCCCCCGGCAGGGTTGCAGGGCCAGGGGCAGAGGCCACAGGAGCAACAACGGCCGGCGAGCGCTGGGGACAGCGGCGGCTCTTCTAGTCCCGAGTCGCGGGTGGGCCAGGTGGTGTGGCTGGTCGATTCTGGTGCTGCGACTGGGGGGGGAGCGTTCGCGCAAGAGGGAGGAGTTGTAGCGGACGGCTCGGGCGGGCGCGGTCTCACTCGACCGGCGGCGGCGGCGGCGGGCGGCGTGGCGGCGGTGACTCGAGGCGAGCGACCGTCGCCCGCGGAACGAGGAAACGGAAAGGAGGGCCGGAAGAAGGTGGTGGCTCGAGAAGACGGTGTTCGGTGAACCAACCACCTAACCGAACGGCCGGGCATTGTTTGATGTGTGGGCTTTTGTTTGGAAGTGTGCTTTCTCGCCGGTCTCCCCTTGTCGGCGGTGTTTGATGAGTCGGTCGGTGGTGCTCGTTGGGTGTGGCCAGGGCTCTGACGCCAGGGGCAAGGCCAGGGTGGGCATGGGTGTTGCTGGTGACCGTTTCGTGCAACGGGTTCTGTCGAAAGAGTGTGAGTGATGGTCTGCCGGCTTTTTTGTTTTGTGCTGTTTCGTGCTGTTTCGTGCTATTTCGTGCTTGCTTGATTTCCGCCCCCCCTGACTGTTGTATCCCTGTCTCCGTCGGAGGCGCTAGCGTAGCTTGCAGGTTCTTTGGTTGGTGATATTTTCCCCTGTATTATGTATATATAGTTCCGGAGGATGTGTAGATATATCCGCATGTACTAAGTGAACGTGTCTCGAAACAAGGGAGTCTTGAAAGCGAGCCTCGATATTTCCTCTGCCTTCCCGAGCAATGTGCAGCTTGGCGTATTTGACCTTCACGAGTAAGGAAGTGATTCGCGGTGCAGCGCCAGCCATCACATCTACGGTTCACCTTCCCAGTAATGGGCACATGTATCCCGCTGTTGATTCGGTTCGGTGAATTGTTGAGAAGGTATTCGGGGGAAGTGAGGTCTTGCGGACCGCCACTCGCACCACGACGAGACATAGTATCAAGTAGGGGGGGTTGCGATACGGTGAAGGTGGGTATCCGGTCTTTTATTCTTTTGGTGTACTCTAGGTGTATTTCTCCCGTCGGTTTCGTGGCGCAATGTGTCTCGCGCCTTCGGTTATATTGTTGTTCCGCTTTTTGTGTCCGCATATTGAGTGCAGACGACCAGTAAAAATATAACAATGATGAGGGAAAAAAAAGTTGGGCGAGAGAACTAACCAAGAGTGCCACGTGAGTGCGGGTTTTATGATGGTAATGTAGGAAAACAATGTCTCTCCATCCTTATCGACACATGCATGGCGGGATCATGGCGTAGACCGGCACGACCAAATCCGGTACAAGGTGTACTGCTTACGAACGATATGCTTGTCACAAACGGTGTGCCGCCTCACCCTTGACAAGGCGACCTTCAGAGTCTGACCGGGTCAACCCCCGGCCTTATACTAGCTGGAAAACACTATACCGGCAACATCAACACTCTTGGGTATCTTGTTCGAAGGTTCAAATTGGCAACAAGCACCGTGAGCAGCAGCAGTTGGCCCCCGATACAGCCAAAATATCCTTCATGGGTATTATCGTACGCCAATCTTGTTGAAAGGTTCAAATTGGAAACAAGCACCGTCAGCAGCAGGAGTTGCCCCCCGATGCAGCCAAATGGAGCAGTGCAACAAAAAAGTGATGACCTGCTCAATCAAACTCTATCTTGACTGACCCTGACGACCAAGAGCCATCGTATATATCGGGTAGGGTACCCCCAAGTGTTGAGCAAATCACTCCGTCGAGCCGATTAGACAAATGCACTACTGCTGCAGTGTGCAACTCTCAAAAGACTAGTCCTCACCAACTCCCGTGTTTTTCTTTCTAGCACGGTGAGAGCGAGAACCGTTACCGCAAGATAGCGAGAACGACGAATCACGTAATCAGACCAAGGCTCCTCACGGCGTATGTATACCACGATAAAGTTATCCCGGCATCTCGGGTCAAGAGGGCACATTCGCCTGAAAGATTTGCCGTATACAACTCGGCAACAACCCCCTCCGCTCGTGACGATACACCGCGCCGCAATAGCAACACTATCGACACAAACAGGAGCCCTTCGTATGTACGTTTCGCCCGTTCAGGAGAAAGGAGCCGCCGACCCCTTGCAAGGCTTGTTCCATTTTCCCGGGTATAAGGGTTTCTGAGGGATTTGAACAATTCCAGTTCTGTTTCGTGATTCTTCGCAGAAAAACAAAAAAAGCGAGTGAACTTTGGAACTCCTTACAAAAAAACTAATCCAGTCTTCGCGAACAGAACGAAAAAATGAAACGGATAACCGCACACCCATGCACACCTCTCCACAACTCTCTAGCGACAAATCACAGATCCCACCCCCCCCTTCCCGCACAACATGCCTGAGAAAAAGTAAAAAAACACTTTTCGTCTATTCCTGTGCTGCTATGCAAGCAAGTCCACGGAACCTCCCAGACCAACAGGCTAGCTAACTCAGCTTCGAGCAAAAAAGGAAGGCACGGCAGTGCCCCCCCCCTCCCCTCCCCCGCTCCCCCCGCCACGGCATGGCCTAGTATATTAGTCCGCCTTGGGTTTTTCGCCGGTGGCGACCGCGACTGCCTCCGGGTTGGGCACCCCGGTCACCGTGTACACCAAATTGTGCACGGGGGTGAAGGGGTTGAAGGCCGGGCTGATGAGGGTCTGAGCGAGCGCGACCACGCACAGGAACCCCGCGACGATCGCCCTGCCCTGCACGACCAGGTCTCCCTCCAGGAAGAGGGCGGCGGCGTCGCGCAGGTATCTGATTGCCAAAAGTTCGCGTACAATTTTCACGTGGATACAGCCGCAGCAGTTTTCGTGAGTAGACTTTCTTGTGTGCGTTACGCTTGTGTGGGAATAAGGTGGCCCACAATGATGGGGAGGGTGGCCAATGGCCCGGGGGGGAAAGTGGGAGAGGGGAAAGAAAGATAGCTGTATTGGCAGCAAGGGGGGTGATTGGTATCTCGGGACGCCCACGGCAAACGTCAAGGTACGCCCGTCTTCTGGGGGGGCACAACCAAAAACCAAAACAAAAGACGCAGGTGAGACACTAGTGCTGCCACAGCGTCACAGAAGTGTACGCCGCCAACACAACAACAAAACCAAAACTGGAGGCAGGGCATCCTTTCCACTTACATGCGCGTGCGCCGACTAAACACCTCTTCGGCGAAAACCTCACGGGTGCGATCGAGAAAACACCAAAACGAGCAACACTCTATTGTTACATTTTTGGGGGGGCGGAAGAATGGGAAGTGAGGGAGCAAGGGTTGGACGGCACTCACGGTCCGACGTTGGGGTCGTAGACGAAGAGGTTGAAGAACATGGAGCCGTAGAAGGCTGACTGAAGCGACCACGGAGCGCCGTTCTTCAACTCCTACGACAAAACAAGTGGGCGGGCGGGCGGGGGGGGGGGGCACGAGTTTACGCGATCGACGTAGCATATGGACATCTATGTGTTTTAACATATGGACGACCACATAACGAGAGGAAACACTGACGAACGGCCTGTGATCAAAACGGGGGAACACCTTCGGTCAACACGTCACCTCAACATATACAAACCGCGCGGCGATAAGGTCAGTGAAGCAGAGCCGTCGCAAGGTGGCCTAGTAATAGGTTATCAATGATATCCATGTCGCTCGTTATAGCCGTGGATTAATTACATTCGCGGGTGAACGGCACACGGTTGCTCAAATGCTGCTGATTTTGCTGTCGCCTCGCGGTATTGTAAGACCGGTGCACGACACCAAGGACGCGCCAATCGTCCCCATTCCAAGTCAGTGGCGCGAACGAGCGTGCAACCTCGCGCTCGTGATGTTGCTGCTGTTAATACAAAAATCACAAAAAAACACACAATTAACACAAAAAAACGACCTTTAACGGTTTTTCCATGCCGTCAAGGTCATTCCACCACAACAACGAACTTCCAAGTTTTCTCCAAACATCAAGGACAATCTACCACAACAAATCCGACGGTGTTTATCATGCATCAAGGTCGTGGTTTTTCCATTCCGTCCACGTGATTCCCACAACGGAGTACTCTCTTGTTACCTTGATGCCTTTGTCGAGGGGCAGGAAGAGTCCGCCGCACCCGCCCACCGTTCCGAGAAGTATCGGGCCCCACAGGGCGATGGGGTAGTGCTTGCCAGGCTGACACAATGAAAAAACAAAGCGGTGGGGGGGGGGGAGCGATCGATCAAAGGGTTCCACATGATTGATACATTCGTCAGGTCGAGCCTACGCCCGGCTGGCACAAAAAACAAGCGGAAAAGTCCACGTACGTGCGGGGGAGGGACACACAAAGGGATGTACAAACTTGCAGTTTGTTGCGGTTGCGATGCAGGGGGTCAGACGTACTGGGGGCCGCCATCACGCCGGTTGATACACGGCGTGGGCGATGCTCCTTGCACGCCCACATTGCAAATATTCCTTTGCACCGCAGCGGTTCACGTCTTACGAATCCGAACTAAGCCCATCGAGGTCACCACCGTTACGTTCTTCGCACTACTGTACAGCGCCTTCGTGCCAAGTGCCTTCTTTTGGTATCCCTCGAAGCAGACCGCGGATCGGATTCCTTCCTCACGCACCTTGAGGATGGAGTTGGACAGGACGACGATCTCGCACATGGAGTTGGCGCGGAAGACCTCCGAGAGCACGAGGATGACCTGCTTCATGATGGGGGTGTTCATCAACGCGAAGATGGGGCCTTCCGCCCTGTTGGACACGAACCAGCAGACGGCCACCTGGGCGGGAACGGCGAAAATCGGAAAAGGAACATCGAACGGTAGAAGAGAGAAAAAAGGACGAGCATGGAGAGAATTATACAAGTGCACAACAACAACGACGAAGTGCCAAAAGAGTGTCGCCAGTTTGGATTGAGAAAAGCGAGACACTTCTGCCTGCAAACTCGTTATCACAGCTTGCACGATTCGTTTGAGTGTGACGAGCGAAAAAAGGGCTTTTCCAGCCGAGATCACTACCGGGGGACAAGATGCAAACCAATCAACACGGAAGCTACTGCTGTACCTACATTTACGTTTCGTCGACAATCCGAACACAGAAATCAAGATCGTGTGTCTTCAGTGGGCAGAGAGCGCCAAATAATTGCCCTGACGCGCCTACGGCAGCGAAAACAATAGACAGGAGCAAGATCCAACTCAAAACGCCTCCAAGCAGGCGTGCACGAAAAACATGTGCCGATGCATCCACGGGGAGGCGCTGACGAAGGACGAACGTCGCGGGATCTTGCCCCTCCACAGACTGCGACCGACATCTCTCGCCCCGCACGCATCTTACACGCGTCACTATCTACTTGGCGCAGCAGTCAGTATCTATCACGCCTCCATGGACATGAAAACCGAACCAACGGGAACGGTAACGTTGCCCTTTCGTCAACTGCAAGGCAACGGAAGTTTAGCATACATAACAGAGGGGCAGACGACAGAATCCAATGATGGGAGAAAAACAAAAACAAAACAAACATAACAGAGAGTACGCACCAGCGGGACTATCAGGTCGTTGACGAGCATGACGGGCGGCTTGCCGAGCAGGAACGGGGCAAGGATGCCGCCTCCGAAGGCCATCATGTAGGTCATGACCAAGGACTCCGCCCAGAACATCTGCTTGCCGCTGTCCTTTTCGATCTTCCTCACCTTGTGAGACCCCGGAGCGTTGAGGGCGGGGAGGTTGAGGTGGGTTTTATTAATTGTTGTTCTACAATACACTGGTGTGAACACTTTGAAGAGGCTGTCGCGTTGCCGCAGCAGGAACATACAAGCAACAAGCAAACGTGTATTTTCTTCTTCGGGAACAATACACTCAACACAGGGAGATTACCAGTTCGAGATGGAAGGTGAACGTGGTTGGGTTTCATGATGTACGGGCCAGTTCTCAGGTAAGCATTGCATGTCCAGGAGTGAATACATCTCGAAATGGGGGGCTGATGACAGCCGGAGGAATGGCACCAGCCGGCTTTCTCTCTTCTCCGGCCCTCTTTGCTAACAAGGCCGATACGTAGCGCTGCTGTGTCGTCCAACGAGAGCTGTATCATACAGCTGTAGCTTCTAGTCTGTGACACATAGGGCCACGTACCAGAATCTTCGCTTTCTGCTTGAATGTCAAAGCACCGCTTTCCGCAAGCCAACCTGAGGGCATCGCATGCTTGTTTGATCTCCATTCAAGCGAAAACATACACAACTGTCGCAGAAGGGTCGAAAATCCACTAGGGTTCACCCCACAACCACAAACAAGGACGACGGCGTGTATGCGGGGGGGGGTATTGGCGCTCCCATGATGCGTCCCTCTCTCGAAGGGGGGTACATACACTTACATACGTAGGTCGCTGCTGCTGCGCGTTTGCTTCGCGGTCTCTTTGCCTCTTTCGCTACAAACGCGATCGATCAAGGGGCTAGTCGCCGAGTACTGATTTCACCCACGTCCCTGCAATCGTCTTCACCGAGGTTTTCTTGAGTCTGTGTGCTGTTGGTGGCGCAAGTGAGCTAACCAACCCGCGCAGCATCGGCCTCGAGGGGTGGAGCATCATGCGGTGGGTACGGGTCTTACAGGTTTCGACAAGTGCACTCACCCTTGCAGAGTGGAAAAGAGCGAACGCGGCAAGGCACACCTCTGCCCCATACTCCCAGTTCTGCGTCAAGAAATTTACGGCATTATCCATGATGCTGGCTCGTTCTTTGGAGAGAAGCCACAGCAGTGGAGATGAACGTCGCAAATGAAACAAACGAAACAGCTTGCAGCAGTGCAGCAGGAGGCCAGAGGCTCCGTGGATCAGTAAAACCGTTTACCCTACGTACGTGAACCCCAATTGCTCAAGCACGTAGACACGTGGTATGCCTGTGTGTGTCTATCCATCCTTGAGCATCGCTGGCGGCGAGCCTGGCGCGTAAGGAGCACTTCCGTTCTGCCCGGTGTACAAGGTGCGTAGCCTGGGGTTCCACTTTTGTTTGTGTTTTCGTGTCGTGTGCAAAATAATGAGAGAAAAGGGGAGCGACACTGCACGACATTTTTGAAATGTGCGCGATCCCGCATGCGATGTGATGAAGAGGTTCAACAGGGGGTGGTTGACCTCTTGTCTACTACGCTGCTGTCTACCATCTGTCTTGATCTGCTCGCCGATTCACTCCATCTAATCCGGCTGTGTGCCGGCCTGCTTACCATTCCGTGTTCTTTCTCATCGCTGTGGTGTAATGTCCGGATGGTAGACTAGACTATGCCACACGACTATTATTACAAGTGACTGCTGCCTCTCTGTTGCTCAGAGACCCGTCGTGTAGGAATTACATGTGTTTGCCGAGTTCACGAAGTGAATTGGCTTGTTTTACAACGTCTTTGCCAAGCGACGAAAACCCAATCCCGATGGCAAACACCGGGGGGGGGTGTACTCATATTCGTGCATGCCGTAGTCGTTAGACCATTGACCTCGCATCCCTACAAAGCCGGGACGGAGCACGCCGGGTTCTCACCGGACCAGGCTCTCACATCACCAAGCGCGAAGCGCCGTGAGATATTCGGCGATCCTGACCGTGAGGTTAATTGAGTCAGGTACATCGATCCAGCATTGCTAATGACTGCTTAGTCTGGTACAATAGTTTACAGGTAGCGTTTTGTCGTGGAATAGAGTCCTGGGAGCAGGGTGGATGCCTATTTATGCTTGCTTACGGAGTTCCTATGTACAGTGTACCTCCTTTCAAAAGTTAAGTAGACAAGGGCGACCGACGGCGACGATCGACGGAGCGACGGCGGGGCGATCGACGAAGGCGGCCCAAGGCCGCCCGATCGACCGACCGACCGACCGACCCTACCCTACCCAACCCTACCGTACCCAACCCTACGGCACACAACACAAGACACCCCCACCACAACCTCCAACACAACCCCCAACCCCAGCACCCCAACCCAACCCAACCCAACTCGTTCAAAACCCCAACTCAACCCAACTCGTTCAAAACCCCAACTCAACCCAACCCCAACACAGTCGGGTGATGACGAAACCAACACCAGAGCGAATACACAACCCCCAATACCCGCCGGATCCCCAGTGAACGACTGCAACATGCAAAGGGCGACATCTGTGACCACCCCACCTCATCAAGCCCTCTTGAAGATAGAACCACACCCCAATGCGCAAAACACTCCGCGACAGTTGTTATGTACCGATGCGACAAAGTTAAAGTGCATCGTATCAATAGGTCGAGCTGACGCGTAGGAGCCGACCGAGCGAACGCGAAGAATTACGTGCGAATCAGGCCGCCTGATTGACCGCCCGACCGAACGACCAACCCGATGAACCAAACCCATCTAAACAAACCCTACCCAAGTAAGATTGTCAAGCAAGATAGAAAAACGTGTAGTGGTTGGTGATAGACAATTTGTGTTGCTGTGTGTTTTCGTCCCATGCCCACCACAAGTCTAGAACCATGCACCTATTGTCTACACTGCTGCTGCATTCCGGTATATACGATTGTAAGTAGTTCAAGTGCCAACCGATGTTACACATGTGGTACCCGTGTCTAGGAATACTCCTATCCTGTAAGCACGGGAGGCATTGCGGTTGGACCTGGGGGCGTCAGAAGGTACGTAACTCAGCCGAGATTGTACTGACTACGTGTTTTTTCTTGCTTTCAACACAACTATTTAAGACCTTTCAAAACATTTTACAGCCATCATCAGACAGCACAAAGGACACGGAACGTGTCACTTATACCGGGTGTAACACTAGCTTGAAGATAACGATGAAGGTCACAGTTTTTGTTGCCGGGTTGTGCATGTCCTTGCGTTCGCTCCCCCATGGCGGACCGGATTACGGCTTCAACGCGGTATGCCTTACGACACCCTACGTGGGATGAGAACATGGTGGTTGTGGCCTGTACGAAGAACAGCTAAGGTAACTGTACACTTGCTTTACGAAGGACTTCTAATAACCCCCAATCTGTTCTCAGGTGGATGAGACTTCTCGTAGGCTTTGACGTGTAAGAAAACACGTTTCCGCTCAACGTCGCCAACATTTTTTTTCTGTTGAAACCCATACTAGCCGATCGTCTAGGTTTGGGGTCGTTGGTAACGAGCATATATTCGCACGTGTGCACTATAATTCCTCGTTACACCATGCGCTTCTTCGGAATTCGTTCAACCGGCAGAGCAGGGTTCGTTAGAAGCCGCGCCACAAGAGGAGAGACTTTAACCGGCGGAGCGCCGTCACCGAGCACCATAAAAACATGCCTTCGCGGGAGGTAGGAAACCTGGCGGTCGCCGCGGCGTTCGCCCTCTTCTCCGCCTTCCTCTTCTTCGCCCGCGACGAGGCCGGCGCTTGGCGAGAGAACTTCCTCAACCTTCCCATCGGCGGATCCACCGCCCCTATCGCCTCCAACTCCGATCCCTATGTCCCGGCCGTGCACCTCGCCGGCGTAACCGGGGACGGCAACAGCAAAGGGCCTCCGGTAGCGTCGGAATCAGATGATGCAGCGGCGGCAGCGGCAGCGGCGGCGGCAGCGGCGACAGAATCAGCAGTGGCGGCGGCGGCGGCGGCGGCAGCTGAAGCAAAGGCGGCAAAGGCAGCGGAGGCAAAGGCAGCAGCGGCAGCGGAGGCGGCAGCAGCCGCAGCAAGGGCAACGGAACCAGCGAAGGCAAAGGCAGCAGGCCTCGCCAAGACGCCGCTGTCGCCGGACGTCCGGGACCCCGCGACGGGCTTGGTGTTGCCGAGAACAAAGCAGTTCGCGTCCTCGAAAACGGGGCTCGTCTGCCTCGGGGTGGGCGTGAGGGTCAAGTCGGTCGCCTTCGTGACTGTCAACGTCTACACGGTGGTGAGTACTGCGGCTCCGTTCCTGATGGGTTAGTCGGTTGGTTGGTTGGTTGGTTGGTTGTCCTCTTCTGTCTGTGGCTTGCCCTATGTCTCGACAGCTCGACGAGCGGTGTTCGCTAGACGGAAGTTGTTAGGGGTGCAGGTCTTGCTATGCTCGTGTACCGCCTTGCACATTCCGCGCCATATGGCAAGCACTGAGCATCATCGGAACGGACGACGCCGCCTCGTTCACACCGTCCTGAGTGTGTTTACCATTTCACGTCCGTTGCCGTAACTTCGTCGCTTTGCGCACCCCGTGCGTGCCGCGCGTGCAGGGGCTGTACGTCGAGCCGAAGGGTGCGCGAAAAGCGCTCAAGAGTTACGCCGGCAGGGACCCCGAAGAGCTGAGCAAGGACAAATCGGTCTACCGCGTGCTGGGTGGAGCGGGCGACTTCTCCAAGTACCTGCACCTCGTGTTCGCGCGGAGCGTCGGAGCGCAGAAAGTTGTTGACGCGTTCACCGCCGTCAAGGGGGTGAACCAGGACGTTCTCGACAAGTGCGTTTCAGGGATCGGGGGGTAAACCTTATTATCATGGCACACCGTTTTCGTTAGGCCATGGACCTCGCATCCCCAGTACGGAGCACGCCCGGCAGGTTTCTTGTGCGAACCAACTCCTACATGGGAGGGGGACGGGGACGCTGCGTTGTAGCTTAATTTACCTCTCTGAGCGCATTGGGCATGTATCTGTTTGTTTGTCTCACAGGGGACGACGGAAGCAACCCTGGCATGTCATATCGCATATATTCTTGTTGTGGTTGTTACTTGTTGTATTCGAGTTTCACACACCGCTCCAACCCCTGCCCGGTGCCTTCTGGCAGTCGTGCCGTCCCGAACCGCCTTCCTCGGTGAAGGGTAATTGTAGAGATATAGAGCTATGTCGGTGGTAAGTCTCTTCACCCCCCGATTGGTCGTGGTTATTGTGTCCTCTCTTGCCGCTACTTGCTTGTTTCGAATTGCGTTCCACGTCGACCACTCACTGACCCTCCCCCGCGACGTTGTCTCTCTTTCGTCTTGCCGTGGTGCGCAGAGCACTTGATCCAATGGTGCGACGCAGCGCACGCACTCATTCCCCGTTTAGTTTCACGAAGTGCATGATTCCGCACCAACAGCAGGAACAACGCGTAATTACAAAGACCGACCGGCATGACCCCAAGCTGAAAAGAAAAAAAGTAGCAAAAAATTTTTACGTGTGATCCTCCAATGCTTCCGCACCTACACACCTCGCGAAAAGGTCTATTTGAAGAAAACAGCGGCACACAGATTTGTAAGCGGAAGCCCGTGTGGTATGCTTTGTTTTATCGCAAAAATCGTCGCATCGCCCAGGTTTTCGAGCCTGACGATGGAGGGCGTCGGGAAGTCCATCGACAGGGAGGAGTCGGTTACGCTGGGGTGGGAGGGCAAGGATAGGCTGGTGGTCTTGGTCCGCGACAAGGAGATCGGCAGCATCATCGACGAGGCCCTCCCTGCGTCGGTGTTCAGCCTTTTCTTGGGGTCCGACCCGGTCTCGCCGGTGGCGAAGACCGCGTTCGCGGAAGGCGTGCCCCCGTTCCTGGCAAGCTAATTTTGTTTCGAGGGGGGGGGGGGGGGGTCCCCCCCC